CAGCGCTCCAGGAAAAAAAAAAAAAAGTCAGGTAAAGAGTTGTGTATAGCAGTTCTGACTTGGGGTCAAAGTCCTGGGGCTGTCTGGGAGGCCAAGCCTGTTTATCATGATCAATGGGTGCCAATAGTCAGTGACCTAGTTTATGTTCTTAGTTTGGCTTATAATAACGAAGACTTTCATATGACATTTTCTGAAGGTTCCAGATACCAATGATCACAAACCAGCCCTGGGACTCCTGCTAGGTTTGTCCGATGTTGCCGTTGGGCATCCAGACTAATCTCTCTGCCTTATATTCAAGAAATTGCTTGGATTCCTTCATATTTTCTCCTCTCCTCTCCTCTCCCCCACCCCACCTCTGCGCTGGGCATCCTAGCCATTTCCTTGCATGAAAGCCCACATATTAAATGACTGCCTTGAATGACACTGTGGCTCACCTCAGAAATATGGCGAAGTGGTCAAAACAAGCGTTTGGCAGTGGAAATCAGGACATCCCATAATTGGCTTCAGTTACCCACTAACCCTTTTTCTTGTAGCACCTGTCTCTTTCTCCAAATCACCTCGTTTTCCTTCACCAGCACTTCCCCAAATCAAAAAAAAAAATCTACACATACCTCACTGCTGGTATCTTCCATGCCCCACTCACCATTTTTCAAAGTTGGCTTTCAGTTCAGCACAGGGGGGGTCCTCTGGGGGAGCATCTGGAGTGCCTTGTCCTTTTGCAGGGACTCCTTGCTGGCTGGGACCTTGTGACATGTTGCAGCTCCTGGACTGTGTGCTTGAATCTGCCCTGATCAAGGGGAGCGAGGAGCATTCTGGCTGGAGGCAGCCCTGCCCACCAGTCATGCGGGAGGGGTAGACAGATAGGCTGGGTGGGTGGATCTTGGGTATGGGAGATATGCTTCAACAGCCTGCACTGCCTGGTTTAATTTGCAGAGCTTAGTTGGGAGAGGCACCATCTCTCCCACGTGAGGATGGATCTGCTAAGTGGGAAGAAGAGGGGGGGGAGGCGATGGATGGTGTCTCTGGCCTGGAAATGGCCTCAGATCAGATCCAAGGAGACCAGTCCCTGCAAGAAGGAAACGAGCCTGCACTTAGAGAAGGTGATCAGCAGATGCCTGCTTGGAATTTCAGTTTTTTTGTACAAGTTCAGAATAATCAGTACGGCTGAAGCAGTATGAAGGAATGTCAGGCTCTCCAGGCATTATCCCAAAGGAAGCTTATGTTAGCCGATGGGTTGGGTTCAGTTAGTGACTAAGTTTCAGTTATGATATGTGGACACATTGTACTGGGGAATATGTGTGGGGCAATGTCCATGGCCCATGTTGTTTCTTATTTCATCTGGTGAAGTCGGGATGGAGAATTTAAGAGTGGCTGGAATCATACATTTACCTAAGGAGGAAGTGGGGTACCATTCTATCCCACTATCATGCCAGCTGTACACAGAGACTGGCGGGCTGGAACTACTCCATAGTGAATAGTGCCACTCTGTACATGCTCGGATGCTTTGAGAAAGAAATCGCTGGCTTTTAATACATAGCACTGAAAGCAAGGAACTTAGATTAGACACCAAAACCAGGGACTGCCTCAGGGAGAATGTGCTAGTGAGATTTTCCATAAACTTTTAACTTGCCTCAGATGAAAGTTTGGTTGCTTCTGTCTGAGTGTTGCTAAGATCATGAAAAGAGAGAAGGGGGGGAGGGGGAAGAGAATGTGAAGGAGAATTTCATGTTGGTATAAAGTTGGGAATTTTGGCACACGATGATGCCCTGGTAACCTGAGATGGATAGATGTCACCAGACTTTTCTACTGTGCATAAGAAATTGTACAAGTAATCCTTAACTTACCACCACAATTGAGCCCAAAATTTCTGTTGTTAAGCAAGACATTTGTTAAATGAATTTTGCCCTGTTTTACAACTTTTCTTGCCAGCGTTGTTAAGTGAATCACCACACTTAGTAACCTGGTTGTTGTGAATCTGGCTTTCCCATTGACTTTACTTGTCAGAAGGTCACAAAAAGGTGATCACATGCTGTGACCTTGGGATACAGCGTCAGTCATAAATATGAACCAGTTGCCAAGCATTCTGAATTTTGATGACATGATCATGGGAATGCTGCAAAGGTCATAATTCTGAAAAACGGTCACATTTTTCAGTGCCATTGTAATTTTGAATGGTCACTAAACAAACTGTTGTAAGTCGATGCAATACTACCTGTATTTGGGATAGCAGGGTTGACCAAAAGAGTCCAGAACGATTGTTATTATAGTTATTTGGAAGTTTCTTTAAGTTCAAGGCAGTGGTGAAATCTAAAATTTGTTACTACAAATTTTCAGCGAAGAGGTTGTAAAAAAATGCTTTTAAAAGCCTCTGACGATCCCAGCTGAGTTGCCTGATCGTCACAGGCTTTTTTTCTTTTACAAGCCTCTGCCAATCAGGCAACTCAGCTGGATCGTTAGAGGCTTTTAAAAGCATTTTTTCTACGACCTCTTTGGCCGAAGAGGTTGTAGAAAAAATGCTTTTAAAAGCCTCTGACGATCCCAGCTGAGCCACGCGATCATCAGAGACTTTTTTCTTTTACTTTTAAAAGCATTTTTTCTGCCGAAGAGGTTGTAGAAAAAATGCTTTAAAAAATAATTTTAAAAAGCCTCTTATGATCACGCGGCTCAACTGGGCATGGGGGGGGGCAGGGATTTTTGCTACTGGTTCTCTGAACCACCCGCCTCCATTGCTACCAGATCGGGCGATCCGGTCCAAACCGGGAGTATTTCACCTCTGGTTCAAGGAGAAAAAATAGTTCATAGGTTTGTTCTGTGGTTTTATTAGTTGTATAGCCCATTTTCCTTCAGGAGCTCAAGGTGGCAGACAGAGCAGTCTCTTCTCCCCCTCCCTCCACAACAACCTTTGGGGCAGGTGGGGCTAGGAGACTGTGATGAGCCCAAGGCCGCCCAGTGGCCTTCAGCCCCACCTTCTTTCCCTGGCCTTGCAGTACAGGTGGCTTGTGGCCAGAGCCTTCATTGGATCTACCCTATAGGAGCAAAGGGTGCCTCACAGGAGAGATAAGCAGCTTTGTGTTCATAGCTTAGCCATGATGTCTTTGGGTACGTAAGGATTTTTAAAATTGGTTAATAGACAAATTACATGGGCGGATCTGGCAGCACCGCAAGATCTTCTCCGTGCCTACTGAGTATTAAGACTGATTGAATTCAGTAATTCCCAGGTACATTCGCAGAAAACTATGATTCCATGAAATGCTGTATAGTTAAAGGGGTGTGTGCTGCAAAGATTGCTAATACAGGTAGTCCTCAATTTACAACAGTTCATTTAATGATGGTTCAAGGTTACAATAGCACTGAAAAATGTAATTTATGACCGTTTTTCACAGTTACAACCTTTGCAGCATCCCCGTGATCATGTCATCAAAATTCAGAATGCTTGGCAGCTGGTTCATATTTATGACCGATGCTGTGTCCCAAGGTCACATGATCCACTCTTGCGACCTTCTCACAAGCAAAGTTAATGGGGAAGCTAGGTTCATTTAACAACCGGGTTACTAACTTAAGAGTTAGTAAGAGACAAATGTCTCTTAACAACAAGAATTTGAGGCTCAATTGTGGTCGTAAATTGAGGACTACCTGTATTCAATTCAATCCAATCCAAAGTTGTGCACAATTTTGTCTTAAGGCGGAAGGGAAAATATAAATATTTGACGGCATCCAAATGGCACCAACAACAATAAAAACAAGAAAAGCAAAGAGAAAAGAAAAGCTTTAGGAAACATATTTTTGGAATGTTTTCCGATCTGACATTATCTATTGTTTGGAAGAATATTAGCTTACCTTTGGACATACACAAAAAAAGAGTTTAGGAAATGAGAGAGAAAAGACAAGTAGAGCAGGACAGTGTGAATTTATATGATCAACATCAGTGCACAACGGCAATTGTCCAGGAGTGCGGGTGTTACGTAAAAGCGCCATGTTTTCATTTTCTCCTTGACTCCTGGCCAGAGACCGAAATTCAGCTTTCATAAAGAGATTGTGATTTTTTAAAATATGGGTCTATACTGACCTCTGGTGGTCAGGAAACAAAAATGTAACATTGTAAATGATTCTAAAAAATACAGTATTTAGTCAAGTATTCAGAAAAGCTTAACTTCTGGTGACATGGGGGGAGGGTGGAATTATTGTCTTCTTAAAAAAATATTAGGAATGGAGTTGGAGGGGATACAAATATATTCAAAGTACAAAGAATACAAATATGTTCAGTATATCAGCATAAGGGTATTAATTCCAATTGCAGTAGCAATTATAGAATTAGTGATGAGAATTTCACAACGTGTCTCAAGTTCAAGTTAACCAAACACTACAATGAAGCCTTTCGCAAGTCTATGTTGAAGGTAACAGTAACATAGTTGGAAGGGACCTTGGAGGTCATCTAGTCCAACCCCCTGCTCACACAGGAGACCTATACTAGGGATTCGAACCACCGAACTGCCGACCTTTCTGATCGACAAGCTCAGCATCTTAGCCATTGAGCCACCTATGATTTGAAGTTTTCCAGCTGAGATTTCAAATTTTTAGTATTATTAGCTGCTTAGAGTCATATTTTATTTATTTATTAAATCTATTTGCTGCTTATCTCGCTACGGGGCTACTCTTTTCACATACTTGAAATGGGTAGCCATATAAATCCACCAAAAAAATGTATTTATGTATTAGATTTAAACTCTGTACATTTAAGAATACAAGACGGCATAGAGAGCATTCCCTTTCTACCCAATTACCACTACCCCAATAAAGAATGCAGGCCAAAGTTATACTCAAAGACTATAAACCATAATTGTGGTTTAAATTGATGTCCTGGTTTGTACAACATGCTGAGGCATTGAATAGGATCCTCTAAAACCGAGTCACAAACTGACTTCTGTCTAGCTCAGCCTACCATTTTTGTGTAATCCAATTGTAGAGTTGAAAGCTGCCGTTAAGAAGCCACACTTCAGACCTTTAAACCATTTTTGAATGTTTTTAATGTTACTTTTGTACAGTAGCAGTATTTCACTAGCTATGAAAAGAAAGTTCAACATTAGATCAACCATTGGAAGAGGAGGACAAGATAAAGAGTAGAAAATGCACACTGAATACAAAAAGAGAACAGCTTCATTTTGTAGTGGAACTTTTATGGTCATTAATTCCAGTATTAGCCTTTCTCTAGTATAGTTTATTCAGAATGTCAGCCATAGTAATAAAAACTTAGCGGCTGCATTCATATAAAATACTACTCTTGATTTTAATTATTTTTTTTAAAATGGCTAATATGTTGAACAAGCCCATTCATTTGATAAATTCAGTGTAGTGAAGAATCCATGAATTAGATTAATTCATGAACTAGGCTGAGCATATGTGAGAACACAATCATTAACCTGGCTAGAAGATCACTTCTGGGATTTCTGTACTACATGGAAGTGCATCTGGGATAGGTTCACACCTCTTGATCACTGTTCGTACTTGAGCCACAATTGCATTTTGACTGGTACCTTGGATGGGGGCAATTCGGGTTGCTCCACTATGATAGTAACGAGTAGCAGTAGCATTGAAGGGAATACTCGCTCTCATTTTCATGCCACCCATTTCCAGTTCACAGTGGTGGTTGGGTGGGACTTCAACTTCAACTGTGTCAGAGTAAGTGATTGATTCACTCCGTGTGTAACCTTTAGTCCAGTTAAATGTCTTCTCTGATGAAATGCCCCATGATATTCCGAAGACTTCAGGTATCCCTGCTGTCATTGTAAAGCCTATGCCCTGAGAGAAGGAAAGGCCCACATCCCAGCTATGTTCAGAGGTCACTGTTCCTGATAAGGTGGTTGACTTCTTCACTGGCCTACAATCATGGTTGGTAACTTTGCTAGAGACTATGGATATGCCTGATTCAGTGAATGATCCCTGGTCTAGAAAGTACCTGACACTGGAGATGCTCTGTGAGCGATAGTCCTTATTAATGGTCAGGACATCATAGTGTTTATACCAGTACTCCTTACCATTCCAACCAAGGAAGAAAGCTTGATTTTTAGTATCTACCTTCCCTAATCCATACTTATTTTTACCAACATATAAATTTATACCTGCACAGGTGTTGATGGAGTTGGGTGGGACTTTACCCCATGAACCCCCTCTCCAGCTTAGGGTTTCAAAGTCATGTCCATTCACCAAAATCCAGAACTCAGAAGTGGAATATTCTTTGTTTCCGTATGGGTAATAGCAGTAAGGACCCTGGCTTGGACTGTAGTAGCCAGCAGCGCAGCACTGTTCAATGCAAGGATATTCCCATCTGCCAGCATAGCTATTCCAGTAAGACACAGCTCCGGTGGGTAGAGATCCTGGGAATAAAGTCCAACTCATAGTAGTTTCGTAGAAAACGCTAACATTTCTACTAGAATGTTGGATGTCATCATTCTGGTCTTGAGCACTGTTGGGTTCATCTGAAAAGAGAAAAATATGTCAGTTAATTTTAATGAAGAAATTTAAGCATATTTTCTGGAGATCTTTCTCAGCCATGTGAGTAACATCTATGACTGTATGTCTATGGAGATTTTCAGTCGTCCAGGTCATGTTTGTCACAGAGATGCTTTCTTTCAAAAGACAAGAAAGTCCAGTTGCCTTTTGAAAGAAAACACCTTTGGGTACTATAGGATTCTAACATAGTTCCAATCCATTTACTAAATCATTTGTTTATATATAGGTATTAATGCATTCCTAAACTACGATGGCCAAGACTTTCTCACAGGTTCATGAAATCAAAACTGAAAAATCATTTGTAAAAATAACAATGCGACTCTCCTCATCATTTTATTTGTTAAACCAGGTTTTAACATAGGGGTTTTTTTCCCCCTATGAAAACCATTTTCAGTTGATATCTAAGGTCTTTCTGGGTCCTCCATAATTTTATAAGTGGGAAAATTCTTCAAAGAAAAAATATTGAAAATATTGATCTAGTGCAATATTGGAGATTATTTTTTTAGGTTTCTGTTAATTTTAATGGATGAAAGTAATACTCTGGGCTAGAATATGATCAGTGGTGAAATCTAAAATTTGTTACTACCAGTTCTGTGGGCGTGGCTTGGTGGGGGGTAATGTGACTGGGTGGGCGTGGCCTTTTTTTTTTTTTTTTACTTTTAAAACCATTTTTTCTACAACCTCTTTGGCAAATGCTTTCAAAAGGCTCTGGCAATCCCAGCTGAGTTGCCTGATCGGCAGAGGCTGTTTTTCTTTTAAATGCCTCTGCTGATCAGGCAACTCAGCTTGGATCATCAGAGGCTCTTAAAAGAAAAAAAGCCTCTGCTGATCAGGCAACTCAGCTTGGATCTTCAGAGGCATTTAAAAGAAAAAAAGCCTCTGATAATCACGCGGCTCAGCTGGACATGGGGGGGGCAGGGATTTTTGCTACCGGTTCTCCAAACCACCTGCCTCCATCGCTACCGGATCGGGTGATCCGGTCCGAACTGGGAGCATTTCATCCCTGTATATAATCCTTATATATACATACACTTGGGAAATCTATTGCTTGTATCCTGTTTTGGTTTGTATTTGTTGTTCTGCCTGTCCCACATTTGAGCTCCAATTCATAAAATATATAATCCACACCCTAGTTGAGGAATTGGCAGTCACTGTCTTCACTTTACTTATACTTTCTCTTTCTCTCTTAACAGAGACTTGCCAACATACAATGGTTAGCCAATCAGTCTTGAAGATTTCAACATTTGAGATTCTTTATACGAAATACTGTGAGACCTGCAGAAATGCTCTACTCCTGGTACTGATATATGGATTTCAACTACCAGAATTCCTCAACTAGCATGATGCTAACCCAGAATTTGATGATTTGCTGATCTCATAAGATATTTTGGGCAAGTTAACTTTAAAAAATTAGTTGCAATATTTCGGACATCTTGGAATGTAAGTTACGACCACCAATAGTATGCCTTGCTTCTGTCCACAGTGTAATTTCATTGGGTAACTGTAGAAAGGATTTCAATGAGATCAACTTAATGCACTTTTTTAAACAAGGAGCTCAAGATAAAAAAGACTGTAGACAAAAGGAATTTCTCCATGGATGAAGCTCATTTTATATACCTGGGATCAACTGTGGAGGATTTTTCTTCACTGTTCTCTTTTGGAGTTCAAGATTACTGTTGACTTCATTGGCCAGGGGCCCATCTATGATCAGTGAAAGGAAGAGAGTGCAGAACAGTAGATGCATCTGAAACACAAATCAGAGGATCATTTCAGATTTTGGAAACATTGCCAATAAACTGTCATTTTATTAATTCCCTTCCCCTCTGTCCCTATTAGTGCTCTTATATTTTAAACACATGTCTTACGTATTAAAGAACGAAGAATATACTTTTATACAGGCACTTTAAAAATATTTAGCTATAGGTAAGTATGACTGGAGCTAGAAAAACGTGGTCAATTTGAGTAGTAAGAAATGAAAGGAAAAAGTGCCAGGCTTTGAACATCAAACCAAAATGATTCAATGCACATTTCATAGGCTAGTTTTGAAGACAACAATTCCCCATTAAATAAGTCACCAATTCAATTTAGATAGATAGATAGAATAGATAGAATTCTTTATTAGCCAAGTGTGATTGACACACAAGGAATTTGTCTTAGGTGTATATGCTCTCAGTGTACATAAGGAGAATAAAATACATCCATCAAGAATTAAAAGATACAACACTTAGTGATAGTCAAGGTTACTAATAAATTATCAAATCATACTAGGAAACAAATACAAACAATATAATTGAAAGATACAAGCAACATGGTTATAGTAATAAGTGGGAAAATATAGATACTAGTAAGGAAAAGAATAGTAATACAGTCTTAGTAAATTATTTGACAGTGTTGTGGGAATTATTTATTTATTTATTTATTATTATTATTTATTTATTTATTAATTTTATTTCTATACCACCCTTCTCCCGAAGGACTCAGAGCGGTGTACAGCCTAATTAAAAACACAAAGACAGACAAAATTTAAAAATAATTAAAATTATTAAATAATAGGCCCAATATATAAAACCCCAAATTTAAAATCCCATTTAAAACCAATTAAAATCTTTACATTGATAGCCCAGCTTGGCGGAACAACATGGTTTTGAGGGCACAGCGAAATACACGGAGATCAGAGATTTTACGAATTTCTGGGGGCAGTTCATTCCAAAGGGCGGGGGCTCCCACAGAGAAGGCCTTCCCCCTGGGTGTCACCAGCCGACATAATTTGGCCGATGGCACCCTGAGGAGACCCTCTCTGTGGGAGCAAACTGGCCGGTGGGAGGCTACTGGTGGCAGAAGACGGTCTCGAAGGTATCCAGGTCCAATGCCATGGAGCGCTTTAAAGGTGGTAACCAACACCTTGAATTGCACCCGGAAGACCACTGGGAGCCAGTGCAGCTCGCGCAGGAGGGGTGTCATGTGGGCACAACGAGTTGTGCCCATAACCACCCGCGCGGCCGCATTCTGGACCAGTTGGAGCCTCCGGGTGCTTTTCAAGGGGAGCCCCATGTAGAGAGCATTGCAGTAGTCCAGTCGGGAGGTGACAAGGGCGTGAGTGATTGTGTGCAAGGCGTCGCGGTCCAGAAAGGACTGCAACTTGCGGATCAGGCGAACCTGATAAAAAGCTCCCCTGGCCACGGCCGTCATATGTTCTTCTAAAGACAGCCATGCGTCCAGGAGGACGCCCAGATTGTGGGCCCTCTCTGTGGGGGGTAAAGACTCACCCCCAATAGTCAGTGATGGCACCAGCTGACTATATCGCGGCGCCGGGAACCACAGCCACTCAGTCTTGGAGGGGTTGAGTCTGAGCCTATTTCTCCCCATCCAGACCCACACGGCCTCCAGGCAGCGAGACATCACATCAAGGGCATCGTTGGGTGGTCTGGGGTGGAGATGTACAGCTGAGTATCATCAGCGTACAGATGGACTCTCACCCCAAAACCACGGATGATCTCACCCAACGGCTTCACATAAATGTTGAACAGAAGGGGCGAGAGGACCGACCCCTGTGGCACTCCCCATGCAAGGCGCCTTGAAGTCGACCTCTGCCCCCCTGTCAACACGAACTGTGAGCAGTTGGAGAGGAAGGAGGAGAACCACCGCAAAACGGTGCCCCCATTCCTAACCCCCTCAACCGCTGCAGCATGATATCATGGTATCAAAAGCCGCTGAGAGATCTAACAGGACCAGGACAGAGGAGCAACCCCTGTCCCGAGGCCTCCAGAGATCATCCACCAACACGACCAATGCCGTTTCTGTGCTGTACCCCTGCCTGAAGCCCGACTGGTACGGGTCCAGATAGATAGCTTCATCCAGGTGCCTGGGCAGTTGTCGTGCCATGATACTCTCAACAACCTTCACCACAAAACGAAGGTTGGAGACCGGACGGTAGTTGGCTAGTTCAGCTGGGTCCAGAGAAGGCTTCTTGAGGAGGGGCCTCACCACCGCCTCTTTCAAGGCAGCAGGAAAGGCACCCTCAGTCAGAGAAGCACTTATAATCCCCTGCAGCCAGCCTCGTGTAACCTCCCGGGAGGCCAGTACCAACCAGGAGGGACACGGGTCCAATAAACATGTGGCGGCACTAATCCTACCCAGAACCCTGTCCACATCCTTGGGAGCCACAGGATCAAACTCCTCCCAGATAATATTCTCAAGACCTACCCTCGTCTCCTCCCCTGGACTCACCCAGTCGGAGTCCAAGCCTTCCCGAATCTGAGTAACTTTATCATGCAGGAATTGCACAAAATCCTCAGCTCAATCCTTAATTAGTTATTAAGCAGAGTGATGGCATTTGGGAAAAAACTGTTCTTGTGTCTAGTTGTTTTGGGGTGTTATACTGTACAATCATAGACTAAATGATTAGACCAAACTGGTAACTTACTATGATTAAATAATTAAACTGAATTGTATAATGCGGAGGAGAGACATTTATATTTGTTCAATATTTCCCCTTCTGCAGTGCTTGGGGAAAGGGAGTATTTCCATTACAAGCCTTGCTGCCAATTAGAGTGGAGAGGTTGTCTACAATGAGATGAAGCCCAGAAAATGTACTAGATGTGGCTGCTAGGGCCAACGCAACTTTAAAAAATGCTATTTTGATCTCTAGCAGAAAAAAAATGAGTGGAAGTTTGCCTTCCTGGGCACAGGAAGCATTTCAGACTGCTTTTGAGACCATCATATACAAGATGTAGCTCAATTTTTACCCCCAAGAAAATGGCTTTTAGAGAAATCACCTTGTCACTCTACTATAAATAATAAACTACAAAGACATGGCTACTGAGCAAAAATAGAGGCATTGATTTTAAGCTGAAAAGTGTAAGTAAAATGTCACCAGGATGTTTATCTGCCTGTCTTTTAGACAACATCTATCCACAAGTCATGTTAGATAAGCTGAATGAAATACTAAACTTCTACTAATTATATTAATAATGGAGGCAACTTACCTTGGGATCTCTTTCAGAAGTCCAAGGCTTTTGATATGGCAATTGCTGTCCTATTTATATAATTTACAGAGAAAAAAATAAAAGGGTTACAGGGTGGGACTTGTTTTGCAAAGAGAAAAATCCTAATTGGGTAGTGAAGTGAGTTTCATAAGTAATTGAGAATATCCATTTCTGATTATCACAAAGTGGCACCTTGAGAATGATTTATGGAAAACATATCTCATGAACCCTCCAGTTTCTAAAGCAAATATTTGAGTAGAAATTTCAGGTGTTCTTTTGACACTCTGTCTCATACTGAAGCCATTTAGACGTTTTTCAGAAGCTTACAACTGGAGACCTCTTGTCCTAAACTTGTCTACCCCAATGACATTCGGTGTCACACAGTTTCTGAAAATGCTTGTTTTGTAGAACCATCTTAATTAAAGTACCTACAGAAAAATTAGCATCCATTTATTTTATTCCCTTGGAAATACATCTTGTTAATGACCATTATCACGTCTTCCGGCAATGAATTCAATAAATATGTATTGCATGAAGGAATACATGGTTTTTTTGGTCTTTTATCTGGACCAAATCAATTTTATTGCATGCTTCTATTGTTACAGGAAAGAATTAGGAAAATTCTGGTTAACTTCTTTTTTAATCTTGTACATAATTGATGATTTTATTGTTGAATAATTGATGGCTTTATTATTGCTCTAAAATGGCAAACATTTCAGCCCTTTATTGTAGGGAAACTGCCCCCAACGCTCTGGGGGCAGTTTTTTGCTCTATTCTGCAAAGTCTAACTTTTATGGAAATCTTATAGAAAGTACAGGCCTATATCAATTTTAGGCATTCTGATCTTTCTGTGTGATACATTATATGCACACCGAAGTATACCAAGACTATACCTCAGGAATTGCTGACTCAAGCAGTGATGGAAGGCACATCAACCTGGCCACCTGGCTATATGCCAACTGCCTGCTCACATTTGACTAGAAGATGCAGAACCATTTTGAGAGGCAAGAGAGGCGTAAATAACAGAGAAAATTAAAATTGCCTTCAGAAGTGTTATGTGAGCTTGTCACAGAGTATCTTCTCAAATGTCCAAGAGATAATAGATGTTCAAAAGTACTAATGTCAAGTGTTATATTCCAATGTTTTTAAAGTAAAATAGAATCATTTTAAAACCAATCCTGGAGTTTTAAATTTTGAAGAAAGTATTTTTGGAAATGGATGATCCATTTAAAATTCTTGTGGATTCTGAGAATCTAGACAATGTAGATTTGAACTCTAGTGTTGACATCATAACTTTCTTTTTGTCCTACAATTACATTCTATCTTTTCTTCAAAATTTAAAACTCCTAAATTCCATGATACATTGAATAGCATCAGATACAATAATCAAATTTACATTCCAACTCAACAAATAGGAAAGTTTTCCAAGAATTGTATCCTCCACCTGGTAGTGTTTGACACCTACTTTTCTGACATCAACAGAATAAACTGGTTATTCTGGAAATAAACTGGCAGAAGAGGAATTAAATCAGAATTTTATTTTCATCCTTTTTTCTGTTCTCAAGGAGTGAACTAACTAGGAGTCATTTAGGTGAGTTGAGTGGGATAGAAATGTGATGAATGAATGAATGAACAAATGAATGAATGATCCTTCCATTTAAAAAAAGGACCGCTTCCATGGGAAATTTCACAATAGTATCGTTCAAAACCTCATATTAATGTTTATTAAATAGTCCAGTCTCCATTCCATCCTTATTCTGTGGAATTTTGGTGAATTTGATATCTCTTGGATTCAGGGGTGAAATCTACTTACTTTCCTTACTGGTTCGGAAGTGTGCGCGTTGTGCGCATGTGCCGTGCACAAATCTGTGCATGTGCAAAATCTGCACATGCGCAGAGGGTAAAAAAATACATTACTTCCTGGTTAAAACCAGGAAGTAATGACACCTGGCCGGGTCGGCGGAACTTTGCTCTGCCATTGCTACCGGTTCTCCGAACCACCGGCCACGATTGCTACCGGATTGCCAGATCCGGTCCAAACCAGGAGCATTTCACCCCTGCTTGAATTAGAAGGAAAGATTATGGCTATTTATAACCCTAATCTAAAAGATTTAATAAACTCTCACTCTATTGATTTCTACATTACCTTGGTTACCTTGGAATTCTTGCAGAGAAATCTTCGATCTGGCCTACTGCTTCACCTGTTATTTTATTTATACCGTCTTCAGAGGAAGGAAGGAAGGAAGGAAGGAAGGCAGTCTTTTGGCTTCTGTATTGAAGGAGTAGGTGTCTAATGTGCTTTTGGGGGAGGAGTGATTGGAAGTTGCATGGCCGTTTAATGCTAGAAGACACCACTAGAACGATCACTTATATTATGGGATTATGAGATTATCATATAAATGTGCCAGTTTCTAAAGGAAATGTTTGAGGACAAATTGTGTGAATCCGAGTGTCTAACTAGGACTTTTATAGATTCTGCAGTGCATATATATCAACTGAATTGAAGTCAACAAATAGTCTGAAGCATAAAAATTGTTAATGGCAATAAGCATCCCTTAATTTCCTTGCTAGCTTTCCTTAGAGAGACTTTTTATTTTGTCATTGTTTAAAAGTTATGACCTTTGCTGTCCTGCACTTATCACTGTTATATAACTTTTATATAAGAGCGATCATTAGTTAATTTTATACATATTAAAAAGTGAGTCAGTGGAAAAGTTTTAGATATAAATACCCTTGGAAATAAATAATCTTGGGAGCAGGAAAGATCAAAATATTTGAATGGAAATAACAGTATGAATTTATCTCTTTATCCTCTGAAGGCTACACTTGATACTGTATACTCTAGTGCCACCGTAATTATGTGATCAATGTGTAGAATTTGTTTAAGCAAATAAGAAATCATATGGAGAGGAGAATTGGAGAAAAATAGTGGCTCTTTGGGAGCTGAGTGTAAAACCTTTCTAACTCAAAGTAATTGGAAAAAATGATGAAACATTTTTTAAAAAGCTCAATCTCTAGTTCCAGGTTTTAAAGAATCCTATATATTTTTAAGATGTAAGAACTCAGCTAGCTCAGAGAAAAAAATCCAATGTCTAAAAGACTTTGTGGAAGGAGAACAAGTTCTATTTAATAAGACTGAGATTGAGTTGAAACTGGATTTACAAATGATATACTACAAGAATGACATGGAAAAAGAAGCTATACCGATATACAAAACAAACTGGCTAATGAAATAAACTAAAGATTACCTGGATAATTTTTTTATATTGGATTTACAAATTAGGTATTAAAATGTTGAAGGATATCATGAGAAAGAACAATTGATGGAATCAAATTTTAAAACACAATATTTGCACACCACACATAAATATACTCATTCACCCACACACATTCATATATATAAATATGTGTGTGTGTTTGTGTTTATGTGTGTAAGTGTAAATATATATGGTAAAGTGCAAACAACTGATGCATATTAGATTTTATTTTTGTGTGCCTTTGAGTCAGTTTTTGAGACTGCCTGGACTAATCCTTGCAGTTTTTTTGTTAAGATTTCAGAAGTAGTTTGTCACTTCTTCCTTCCTAGGGCTGAAACAAGGAGACTGAACCAAAGTTACCCAGTTACCTTTGTGCCTAAGGCCTCCTTGTTTTTTGCCTGATGCATAAACCACTACACTAAAATGGCTCATTGTAGAACATGGATAATATAATATCACAAGATCCTTTTCTTACAATATCTCTAAGCTGAGCTATGAGTGTGGGTACCCTGTGCCCAGCATCTTACAGATAGCAAAGGGCAATCAGTTGTCATGACTATATTCTGATGGCCATCACTGACCAAGGTGGAGATTCCCTGAAAACTAAATGGAGAACAAGGATCCATTTCGATACTCATTCTGTGAACACTCATTTTATGACTAAACACAGATTACAGATATACCAATATCTCCAGGTACAGTAGAACCTCTGGTCACGAATGCTTCTGACCACAATCAAATCGGGTTCTGACCAAAAAATTCACAATTTTAAAAAATCTGGTCACGAATACATACGCAGGTGGCAATCAAACACCTGTGGCCTATTTCCCCTTCCACACTATTTTTTTGTAAGCACCAAACAACAGCGACCTCGTGTGGCCGCTGCATTAATTTTGTTTAGGTTTGGGTCATGACCAAATCAGGTTGCAACCAAAGTTATGGAACGAATTATGGTCGTGACCAGAGGTTCTACTGTATCTTCTTATAAGAAAACTGGGTCCTATGAAATCTTGCCTTGAAATATATCATTGGTGGAATAGAGCACGTGTATGTAACAATATCAAAGACTTAGAAATGATAATGGAAAGAGCAATTACAATTGCCAGATTGAGATCAGTATCTTGTCTAGAATCTTTAGCTATAGCACATCCCATCTTAAAAGCTATGATAGGACATGGCTAACTTTTAAAAAAATTATACAGAATTAAGAAGCTGGAGAACCAGCATTTTTCTAAACTTCAGGAACAAGATGACTAGATATTAGTGCAAAGTTTTAGAAGCTTTAAGGCAAGTTATTTAGCAGGTTTCTGTCTAACTTTAAATCATGTGAGTTCTCTAAAAACAACAGATTCATATTTCTCAGGGGATCAGAGGGCAGCCAAAGTCACCAAGGCCCAGCTGTAGCCTTCCACAAAGCCTTTAGATATCAGGGGAAGCCAAATTATAGTAACAGCTGCAAAATCTGCTCAAATATTTGCTTTAGAAACTAGAGGCAGCTACATGATAGCATCAGCATAAATCATTCAAGTCTTCATATTTTAAGAGGAATTTTCTAAACACTTATAAACTTTCCATCCCACCTCTAAAAGACAAACAAGACACACACTCTAATATAGAAATTGCACCCCCTTTTTTTCACTGGGACAGATATAGATAAAGAGAAGTGGTAAAGCAGCAACTAATTAAAGGATTGCTCTTCAAAAAGCCGCAATGGATTCTCAGGTAAGTTGGAAATCAGTGCAAAGGGATTCATGCAAAATTCATTAACACCTGGCTTTAAAATGGTCTTAACTGATTTCTTTTCTTGATGTTTTCCCAAAAAGCAATCTAGAAATGCTGCATATGTTTAGGAGTGAATGAAAGATAGACAATTTCATAGATATTAGTGTGGGATTTTGAAGTATCATTTAAAAATCTTATTTCAAAATATTGAAAGATGCAGTGAGAAGTGATCCTTGCAAATTTCATGTAGGAAGGTGAACTCAGATTTAACTGATCTGTCCCAGATTTGTGATTCTTCCAGCATGGAGGGATTATAACAATCTGTTCACTTCCTGGAGAAAATTAATGGATATTTTACATTAAGATGTCACATGTTGGAATTAAATATAAAAATATCTTCCTGTTTTTATGTCATGGAATTATTCAAAGTCTAAACGTCTGAACAAGTTGAATACTACAAAGTGGCAGTTTACTTTCAATTTCATCTTTTGAAAGTATGAAATACTTTTCTTATCTTTGTCTCAGATGTGTCTTTTACTTTCTGCTCTTCTCCTGTCCTCGATCATCAGTGAGTCACTGGCCAATGGTGTCAATATTAGCTTTAAAGTCATAAAGAGAAAAGCATTCTACAACCAAAACCAGGTGCTTAAGATGGGCACCACCTTGGGAAGATCTCTTAGCATCTGAGGTAGTGGTGGGTTAAAAACTCGAGCAAAGGACAGTCTATCACCTCAAAGGCTATTTGTTCCATTATTGAAAAATTATTAGGACTTTTTTCTCATATCAAAATTAAATATACTTCCATATAATACAAAACCTGCTATGTCTTCAACTTTTCTATGTAACAAGCCTTCAGATACTTGAAGATAATTTCTTATCAGCAGTCTAAACCTCTGCAATGCTTCCTGTCTTTACCTACAGATTTTTTTCTTTCTTTCTAGGCTACTTAGCATATTGGTTATTATCCTCTAGAAAGAATCCAACTTTCAAATAACTTCCTAAACTGTGGTATCTAGAAATGGGCAGAATAATTTTATCTGTGTTTCAATCTTTAAAATGGGCAGCAAAGCTAATATTTTTGTTGCAACAAAAATGGAGTTGGAGCTGTTCACTTGACTTAGTTTGGGAAGAGAAATACATGTTACAGTTCCTAGATCAATTTAATGTAATTTTTAGACTTGTAAGACCACCCAATTCAAAATGAATCTAGACAGCATGCAGTATTGTTACCGCATTTTAAGAATATAGACTGATGGATTATAAAGTGTATTTGACACTGGCAAATATTAATTATTTATATATTTATTAGATTTTTATCTCAACTTTATTATTTTATACATAGTAAACCAGTGAATATAACACAATACTCCATCTCTTTTTCCCCACAACAACCCTTTGAGATGGGCTGAGCTGAAGCAGAGTGACTAGTCCAAAGTTATCCAGTTGACTTTCATGCCTATTAGAACTAAAACTCACAGCCTCCTAATTTCTAGGTCAGCAACTCTAACGACTACACCAGATTGGCTCTAATCTATTGTAGATATTGACAATTATGAATAGCCAGAGGAGTCTACTGTTCTCAGAAAACATTAATCTCATTTTAATTCTTTATCTTCCTGCTACAGTTCAGCAGCACAGACCAGGGGGGGAAATATCCATTACAATTTCTGTGGGTTATCCATCAGGGTTACAAAGCATTGAAAACATTATACAATGCCAAAACAATTGTTTTGCACAACTCACAATCTTTAATCTGTCTTCATTCAGATGAATTTCAATTTCCCCTGTTCAACTAGGATAATTTTAGAATGTGCATAGAATGTATGGAAATTTGTGCTTTGTCTGGAATTTTTCAAAGAGCTTATATTGGGAAAAGAATACATAATTACATAAATACTCCCCCCCCCATTTCTTCATGAAACATTAGCTGATTTCCTTTGTTTCTATTTCATTTTCTTCTCCCAGGCAATGCAAATAGTAGGAATGCAGCAATGAAAGAGGGAACAGAAGAACAGCCTTCCAACAGAAGCCTTGATGTTTTCTATGGAACAACCATGAGATGGGCTTGGTTTCCCGGCTATGTCCCCAGTGGAGCTGTGACTTACTGGAACAGTAACGCTAACAGATATGAATATCCTTGCATGGTTTCAGACTGCTCTGCTGGCTATTACAGTTCCAGCTGGGGGTCCTTACTGCTATTACACAGGTGGAAACAAAGAACACTCCACTTCTGATTTCCAGATTTTGGTGAATGATCATTACTTTGAATCACTGAGCTGGTGGCCAGGTTCATGGGGCAATGTCCCATCCAACTCCATCAACACTTGCTCAGGTATAAGAGTATATGTTGGTAAAAATCAGTTTGGATTAGGTAAAGTGGTCAACGGACATCAAGCCTTTTTCAGTAGATGGAATGGCAAGGAAAAATAGTATAAATATTATGATGTCCTGACCATTAATAAAGACTATCACTCTCAGAATATCATCAATGTCAATTATGATCTAAAGCAAGGATCCTACAGTGTGGGAAGCATGGCATTAGCTTCCAGCAAACTCATCAACTAAGATAAGGCCACTAAGATTACTACCTTATCAGGAACAGTGACTTCTGAACATTCCTGGGATGATGGCATTTCCATCTCTCAGACCGTCAGCTTTAATATGACAGCAGGGATACCTGACATCTTTGGAGGATCATGGGGCATTTCATCAGAGAAAACCTTCAGCTGGAATAAGGGTTATACATATAGTGAATCGGTCACATATTCTGAAACAATTGAGGTTGAAATTCCACCCAACCACAGCTGTGAGTTGGTAATGAATGGCAAGAAAATGAGGGAACAGGTTCCTTTCACTGCTAGAGCCACCCGTTATTACTGTGATGGAACCCAGCAGAGTGCCACCATCCAAGGTGTCAGCTACAACGTAGTTGAATTAAAAAGAGATGCCCTCAGATGACTTAATAATTAATTTTTTTTTTGACTGCGCTGAAATGGATAAACTGACATTGGAATTGAAAGGAATGACAGACTTGGAGCATTATGTATCATGGGAGAAATGGTACAAATGGATTGAAAACAAAAATAAAACAGACTCAGACATACTAGAATTAGATGAAGTAAAATATATAGAGTATAAGAATTTTTTAGTGATATGTTGTGTAAATGGTCACAGTTGTGCCAATTTTTTTTTGTTTTTTGTAATTTTGCATTTTTTTAATGTTTGAAAATCAATAAAATATTAAGAAAATAAAATAAAATAAAAGGAGATGCATAGGTTGAATGCTGTGTCCCGATCCCAAATGCTGTCCTTTGTAGTTTTATTAGTTTGCAGCAAGAATCTAAATAAAGTTAATTATTGTTGAGCCTTTAGAAGGATTCATTGTAAATTGAAGTTTGTAATAAAAAAATAGTGATTTGCACTAGGCTGATCTTTTTGCTTTATTGGTATTAGTAAAAAACCAGTTAGCCTTGAGTTCCTTTGAACTGAATTTGCTATAAAGCAATTATTAGAAATTGTTCTTAGACTTTAATTCTAAATTACAAATTCAGTATAAATGTAAATTGTGCTCATCTGTTCATAGCAAAGAAATCTCCATTCAAAATAGTGGTGCTATCAAGAGGAAGGGTGCTATATTATTTGAGCACTGCAATCAAGGAAACAAGGCTTGAGGTTTTGTGAACCTGACTTTGCCATTAAACTAATATCAC